TTAAATGTCTACCGGTTATAAATGAGATGATCCAAGCTCTTTACACCAAAGGCAAACGATTTTGCCGATCGCCTTTCGAACCGTACCATCGTATTGGACAACCAGATTTTCTACGTATTTGACCAACCCTCGTTTGAGGTAATCCGTTACGGCCCTCTTGACTGCCGTATCGAAAAGACCCTATTGACCAACTATGGTGTGGAAGAACTGTAGAAGCTATTTTGGACAATACCATAGGCCGCAGGGGTCTTCGCTACGAATTAGATTGGATGGACTGAATTTTGTTATTGAATGGATTCATGGTGCAGAAAATAGTGACAGTGATGCCATTTTACATTATATTTTGTTGTGTGACATGCACTTGTCAATGTGCGCCATGCTGTGCTTCGAACAGTGTGCAGAGTTGATTACCCATTGAAACTTACAGTTATAGGAAGAATCAGAATTTTAGAAACATTATTGTTAATTTTTTGAAGTTGTAAAGGTTGAACGAAAAATTACACTGAAAATTGAGCAAAATCTGTTTGTACGAAATCCAAATTTATTTAAGCTGGCGTGTATCATCTTTTAGAAGAGCTGAAATAATAAAAACTCTGACTTGACACAATTGAAAAATTTATCTTGGTGTTTAACTTATTTTAGCATTATCATGCAAATTGCATTTTAGAGCATAGGGTAAATTATGGCTTCGGCACCCATTGACTGTTTTCGGCAACCGAAATTGAAACGTTTATTTCACTGTATTTTTCCATCAAAACTCTTCGCTGAATGTATTAAGCCGATTCCTTACCTTTTCAGCTTCAATCTGATTACATTTTTACGACTGTGCAATCCTGTTCTGCCATATTTTTCTTTAAATGAAATATACACACTACAAAATACGGCTGATTTCGAGTTGCCGATAATAGAACAGCTGGTTAACACGCAGTTCAAATGGAAAGGGTGCCGAAGAAAAAGAGACTGCCGACAATAGTCACACTCACCTGAGAAGTTTGGAGCGTTGTAAAAACATGTTCAACCCGTTTTGATCAATTCTGTCGATTGGAATTGGTAGAACAGCAAGCAGCAGATAAATGTCAACAAACAAACCTGTCATGTATGCGTGTCACGCTGAGAAATCGCTAATAGAAGTTCGGACGCTGCTTAGATTGGCGAGAATACGTAAATTCCCCTATGTGATTTAAAATTTCTTAAAAAATATTGACTGCCTCAAATACATTGCTTATTATTTTTCACATGTTGCTTATAAGTAAGGCTTATATTTTGCCGAAGAAAGCTAAATAGTCAATAATGAAGTTGTGTCTGAAAGTGTGTCGGTTTTATAAACTGAACAGTTCTTAGGGGGTCATTTCTCGACAGACCCTATCTCGAATACAAATGTCATCTAGAGGCTTCCGGAGCGCATCTAACGCTAAATCATTTTCTCTTTAGCGTTAAAAGAGCAGCTAGTTTTTGTATTCCCGGGAACGAATTCTTGGAAAATGAGATTTCCCGGGGTTCCCGATTCCTAGGAACATAATATTCATTTCTCGGGATTCCCAAAATTTTCTCCGCTGAAACGTAATAACACATTGTGAGAGATAAATAAATAAATAGATATTGCTTGTTATGAGATGGATAATAACTAGGTAGGTCATGACTATTCATACACATTTCCTGACAGTTGGTGAAAGATCATTTGGATTCAAGCTGCTGCACGGGTAAGTTGATCATTTATTAGCTGCGTCGAGGGCGATTTGCCTATAATCAATATCGGTGGATTTTCACATTTCTGGCGATCCTGCCAGGAGACAAACCTGGAATCTTGGACAACCCAGATAGGTAATAAAGGGCAAATCACCCGCTTGCAAGGAAAATTGTGGGTGTGCAAGTGTGGGCTTGCTACGAAAGCAAGTGTGGCAATGGTGGAAGACAGATTTTGATAGATTTCTACCACCCAGAATCCAGAATTTGTGGCGGAGGGTTGCTAGCAGGAGTTGCGGCCCTGCGTGCAGTAGCTTTAAGTGAAAGAAACTAGTCAGCAGAGTCGACAGCGGATGTCTGACAGATAGCACGACGGGGTGTTTGACGTAGTCGGAGAGCGCTGCGTTTCGTAACCGGCCACCGACACGTAGAATATCGTCCTGGTCGATGAATGGACTCAGCCACTTTAAAGCGGAAGACTTGGCAACTCTTTCCCCGTTGGCTAAATCGGCAACTGAGGGTGGTGTACTTTACCGGATCACAACGGCGCAGCGATGCACGTTCTCGTAAAGAACGAACGTAGCGTAAGCAGACAGCTAACACGACGAAGCTAGGAGAAACCAGAGTTGCGAGCAAACAAATCGTCGCAGAAGTCCACCTGAACGACGGCCATCGCAACGAGTCGTGCCTTACGAACTTCTTCAACAGTCGCTCCCGTTTCTTCTTCGGATGGAATTGGTTTCAGCCAGGCTTCCGGAGCACGTGACAACCACTCAGGACCGTTCCACCAGCGCTTGCATTGCATGGATTCAGTCCTCGCGAGATATCATCAGCAGGGTTCTCGATGCCAGCAGTTCACGTCGCTTGCGTGCTGGATTTGTGCCCCTCGATTAGCTACGAATGCCTTCCAACGGCTAGGCGATGATTGTAGCCATTGGATAACGGTGGTGGAATCGTGCAGCGCAGAGTTCTAGCCGGGCTGTCGAATGCTGACTGGATAACGGCGCAACCTTGGATTTGGCCGTCAGAAGTTGAATTGAAACACCGTCACTAGTTTCGGCCCGCACGTAACAGCAGGTCCCATACGCCCTTGGAGACGTCGGCGAAGAAGTGAAACGAATCGTCGAACACGAACTTCACTCAATAAACAGAGAGTAGCATGGAAATCCTTTCATTCTTCTTGCAGCATGCGGGGGAGTGCATTATCCCATTCGCAATCTTCACCATTCTGCTTCAAGGCCCACAAACGCTGCTTGAACAGTTTGGCGACAACGATCGTAGGACCCACCAGACAAAGTGGGTCGAAGATGTGAGCGATGTAAAACATCACCTTACGCTTCGTCAGGATCACAGCAGGAAGTGGTAGCTTGACCTCGAACCGAAGTACGTCGTTCGATGGTTCCCAGACGAGACCGAGAGTTGAAACTGCTGGCTCATCTTGTAGGTCGTGTAGAGGTTTGAGCGCCAGATCTTCTGGTGGAACGTCCTGGAAAACCTCAGGAATATTCGATGCCCACTTCTTGATTGGAAATCAAGTAGCACCAAGCATCTCTGTTACATGCTTGCGAAGCTGGATGGCAGATTCTACATCGTCGGCACCAGACAGAAAATCATCGACGTAGAAATCGTGGATGACCGCTTCTACAGCAGCTGGAAATTGATCTCCATTATCTAGAGCGATTTGTTGCACAGTCCTCGTGGCCAATAACGGAACAGACGCAGTACCGTAGGTGAGTGTCTGCAGTTCGTAGATGGAAATTGGATCGGTTGGGCTCTTTCTGAAGCAGATTCGTAGGAATCTTCGGTCACTGGCGATACATTTTCTCCACGTCGGCAGCCATAGCAACGAAGCGAATGCGAAACCTCAGCACCAGTGCTTGAAGATCTTCCTGAACGACTGGACCAACCAATAACGTGTCGTTCAGGGAATATCCTGACTACGTCTTGCACGACGCGTCGAATACGACCCTGACCTTCGTTGACAGCGTGGTGCGGGATGTAGCAATGAGGAATGTCATCGTCTATCGGTTCGTCGAGCTTCTTAATGTGTCCTAGTTCGAGGTACTTGTTCATGAAGCGGTGGTATGCATCCTTGGTAGCAGGATCAAACACTTGTGGATGGAGGACGGAGTATTACATTAAATATACTTGATCGTTTTATGTCAATGACACAGTCGCTAGGAAAAACATTTACGACGGTTACGATTCAAGACGTATTAGCTTTTAAAAAAGATGCCCTGTATATAATATTTGCTAAATTTTGGCTGAAACCGGACCGATTTTATTTTATGCCTGTCAAACATTTGACAGATCTTCTATATAAGGATATTCATTAAAATTGATTGGTATTGAAGCATCACTTCAATACTTTCTTTCTTTCATTTTTATTATAGTCACTTTAACACTCTTGGGTCATTCGTGACTTGTCTGGGGGTGAGATTTGAACTCGTGAATTTGGCGTGAGAGGTATGGGGATGTTAAACACTAAGCCGGGGTCACCCCCCGTAGGGTGGACTAAAAATCTCATCCTTTGGATCTTACTCTTGAATAGGAGCTTGCCATCCCGCCATTTCACATAACATGAAAACTGCTTTATGCAATTTGAATTTATTTGAAAGGCTGTGAAAATTTGCCGAGTTAAATTCTTGGTTATGCTTTATAAAAGTGATCGTTGCTTAAAGAGAGCGATGGAAAGTTATCATTAATCTTACTATCCGAGTGTGGTTATTTCTGACGGACAAGAAGTTAGATTTTGACAATCGTGGTTGAGTTCTGGTCGTAAACCGGTTGATCGATAGCACAGGGATTTTCGAACATGGAACATAACTTTCGAAATGTCACTTTTAACCACAAGTTAAATTTAACTTGGCAATTGGTTTACAGTCTAATGGTGTCAAATTTTTGCATTTTCGAAAACTTTAAACTACAATCTACTCTCCTTAACTCGATATTGAAGGGACCATTGCGTTAGGGAGGATATCGAGTTAGTTAGGGACCAACTTTTATCATATGTATGGGAAATGTGATCAAGATAGCCTGGATTTGCATCGAGTTAGGGAGAGTTCACTATAATTTTTAGGGGCGTCGCTATACAATAAATCGTGCTTCCGGATTCTAACTGGACCACACTTTACGTGGACATTTTCAATATGGTATTTAAATTCGCAAGAACTTAGGTAATTCATCTGGACAGCTAGAGTTGAAAGGTCTTATGGTTCTGGAATTTCGAGTGTATGAAAACTTCCAGTAGATGACGAACAAAATTGTGTTTTATTCATCTTGAGACGTGAATTTGATTAATAATGATACAAGTATTTAAAGTATATTAAGTATCGTTCAATCCTTGCTATTGCTACTGATCCTTAAAGTAATCGTGTTTTTTTAAATACAGGGTAAATATAATAAATTTAAGAGTCGTATTCATAACGAAAAGAGTCACTGCTGTGCTGTCTGTTTGTGCTTTCACTGCGAAATCTTCCGTTTTTTAAAATAGCTTTGTACTGGCAACTGCATCCCTCCCGGGACGAGAATGAACTGTTGCGTTGAGTGTAAAAATAATACTTTCCTTGTTCACTT